TTGTGTTATATATGCACACACAAAAACACACACACTCGCACACACCCACACACACACGCACATACACGCATCCGCATTTATAATAGTAGCGAATATGTTAAGAAGTAGATCCCTTGATTTTTTGAAGGCACCCACTAAGGAGGGGAGCAACAATACAAATAATTATTAATACGAAGAGGATCAGGCCATAGTGCACCGCGCAGAGAAAATGCGGGTTGGCGCACTTCACATGTCTTTTGAAAACTTGCTAGGTTCTCTCAGACATGCAAGTTTCCTCACGATGTTTTCCTTCACCATAAAGGTAATAATCATGTTGAAAATGATTCGTACATTATAATATCGGAGATGCGAGGCCCGGAATTTCAACCCGCTACACCCGGTTTCCCAAGCAAATTCGTTACCACTGGGCTACAACTGCCTCTATAACGTATATTTACTCAATAACTTCCGTAAGTAGGGAACTTGATTTTAATATGTAATTATTATTATCTAAAACTTCTATTTCAAGATACGATCGCAGTCTTGCCTGTAAATAATTTGATAAGTAACTTAGTTATTTATTATTCAATTATTACTGAAGACGTTCATTTCTCGAGGGGGTTATAAAATCTTCATTTGGAAAGGCTCGTTGAATATCTATAACAAGTCGCAATAACAATATTATGTATTAACTAGCGATTCACCCTCGCTTCGCCCGGGTTTGCCCCTATTTCACCCCGTTGGGGGTTGAATTTTGAAAAATACTTCCTTAATGGATACCTTCGTCATATGAGGAATACGTGTGCGAAATTTCAATTTTCTAGCCTTAAGGGTTTGGCCTGTGCGTTGATAAACCAGTCAATCACCTTTTCTTTTTATATATATAGAAGATATAGCTATCTAATCAATTTACTTTTGCAAGTTACAAAATACTCGCTGAGAGATGCGGCATGGGCACAAACTGCTGATTTTTCACACTTGCCCGTTCATAATTTAGTAAGCTCCATAACTATTCCTAACTACTAACTATAACTAACTTAATATGTGAGTGGAGCCTCTCGATGATCGTATGATATCTTAATATGGTAATATACACTTATATAATATGGAAATGGTAAACTCAATATTAACTACGATATATTTATCTCTGAAAACGTAATGTGGGATTATACGTGTTTTTTCTATATACATAATATTTTTCTCCGTGTCAAGAAAGTGTAAAAGCCATACTAAAATTATAAACTATGTCTGTTCATGCTTAAAGTGCTGAACAGAGTTAGAAGAAATTTGTTAAGGGCATAAATTACTCGATGAGAACTGCCATAGGCTATTATTTCGCTGTTTTAGCGATAAGGCCGCCTCTTGTACATTCCCATCTATTCTGTATTTATTTATTTTCTGTAGTTCTTGGTGTACAATAAAGAGTTAATTATTATTATCCGCTTACTACGCGAGTGGAACTTTAGGTAAAATCTATTAGGTAAAAACAAACTTTAATATCTTGACTTGAATAGAAGTACCAAAGAGCTTTTATGATACGTTAAATAAGGTCCTATACATTGCGTTAGCTTTGTAAGCTGTTATTGGAAAGAACTTTTTGTTTTGATACCAGTTCTTTTGTATGTTAACGCTCTGAGCTTTCTTACATTCAATTCATTTCAGCTTATCACTTGCAATATCTATATATTAATACGTGAAGAGAAAACTTTGAATCACTTTTTAAGCATATATAGCTAGTACGGAGGAGTATAAGCTTTGCCATAGTTAAAGTTTAAATAGAGAAAGACTGCAGAAAGCCAAAATTTATTGACTTTCTTTTACTCGCGCATTTTATTTTTTACTTCACCGCTAAAAGATGTAGCATAATGTTAGATATAGACCAGGGTCGATAACTTTTGAAACTAAAAAAAAATATCAAGTCGGAAAAATAGTATCAAGATGGGTTTCATCCTACTTTTATTTTATTTTTTAATTTTTTACCGTTTTCAAAGGCCCTGGTCTAATAACATTCATCAATGTTATACCTAAGAGTACTTGCATAAACGAGTACATACATAAAGATGAAAAGTTTGTTTGTCTGTCTGTGCATATCTCTGAATCTATAAGCCCGTTTCTAAATTCTATTGGACTTTATAGGCTATCTAATATACGTTTGAAAAAAGAAACCTCAATATCGATCAAAAATCTTCTTGATCTTTAATGATTTATAGTTGATTTTCAACCACGAGGCATTCACTAGTCTAATTAAAACATCTATTTCATAAGACACTTCATTAGTTGTAATCTCAAAGGAAATCCGTTCATTCGCACATCACAAATACGATTTTATTTATTTCAAAGGGTCTTTGTGGACACGATTTCATTAAATTCACTTATTGGAAAAAATTTAAGTATTTTAAATTTTCATGGCAATACAACCATCCATCATAACTAATTTCATAATGTAACCGAAAGTTGGATAGTGGAAGTAAAATATTTGGTTATTTATATTTTATTTACGACTCTCTTACGCTACGTTTTTAACAATCGTGTTTTCTGTTTATTTTTAAACTAGCGGCTCACCTTCACTTCGCTCGGGTTCACCTCTGGAAAAACAAAAACAAATCTTTTCGACGGGGACCGTACGTTTCTGGGATAAAAAGTAGCCTATGTATTATGCCAGACTATAATTATCTATCTCTGTGCCAAATTTCATCCATATCCGTTCAGCAGCTCTGGCGTGATTATGTATTATATATGTATGTAATATGTACATATATGATATTGTATATAAGATCCTAATTTTCCTTTGGGTTTGGAATAATCTCTAGTTTATATCCACATAGTAAGAGTGCACTTACGGAGAACTTGACTTATGTTACTCTATTTAAATATATTCAACAATTTCAACTTCACCGCCCAGTTTTACCCACTTAGAGGCTCAATCTTAAAAAATATAAAATACATGTTTATTTATTTGTATTGAAGATCATCAATATCAAGTTTCAAGTAATTTTGATCATAAGCAATTTTTTCCTCATATGAACAGCACAACCCTCTTTTACCCTTTTAAGGGATGAATTTCGATAAAAATTGATACTTTTATTGTTTTATTTTTCATTTCAAACGTAAATACCACTTTCCGTGCACCAATCACAATATATCATACAAACTTTCATCCCCCAATTTACGCCCTTATGGAATGAATTTCGAAAAATGCTTAAATACTTATTTATTTAATTGCATTGAAGAGCATTAATGCCAAGTTTCAAGTAATTCTGATTATAAATAATTCTTTGCCCATATAAAGTTTATAACCCCCTTTTACCCTTTTAAGGAATGAATTTCAAAAAAATCTAATACATTTGTTTTTTTATTTTTCATTTTAAAGCTAAATACCACTCTCCGTGCATTTCCCGTTAAGAATGGCAGAGTTTCATACAAACTTTTATCCCATATTTTACCCCCTTAGGGGATGAATTTCGAAAAATCCTTTCTTAGCAGATGCCTGCATCGAATAAGGAATATATTATCCTCCAAATTTCACGTTTCTACGACCAGCGGTTTAGGCTGTGCGTTGATCAATCAGTCAGTCAGGACAAAGCATTTTATGTATAGTATTTTATAGTCATTTTAATAAAAAAATTAATTTCTATTTTTAAACGATTGTACAAGGATATGTTGCAAATCTCTCTGAAACTAGTCAACTTGCAGGCAATACAAACACAAGTCCACCTTCTATTCTTACCACTCTCAAGCTCCCATAGGACGACCACTCGACACGACCGACGAGAAATCGGGTGCTACACCGATAGCTTTATGTGCTCCCCAGGGAGTGAAACACGGCTAACTTCCCAATTCCGGTCTGTTACTGAAAATTTCTTCACAAAAAATTCAATAACTAAACTTGGCCCTACCCGGAATTCGAACCCATGACCTCCGGATTTGCAGCCGTACATGCTAGCTATCGACACAGTTAATACCGTTTATAATAAATATATAATATAATAAATAAATATATACAATAAGCCCTATATTATATTTAAATGCTTACGTAATCGCTGTCGATATTATTTAATTTATTAACACTTGCCGGTTTCACGTCATACTTCATTTACCCACGTTTGCCGTATCTCCCACATCATATTAAGAAAGTATTAACTATATTATGGATAGTTTTCATCCGCGGTTTTACTAGTGTGTTGTGTCGGTAAAAATTGCCTGGATATATTCAAGATATAAGCTATCTCTCTGCGTTATGAAGTAACAAAGAGACATACAGACACGCACACATTAATCTACATATAATGCTTTCTTAGCTTTAAAAGTCATAGTAATTACAGACGGTGTCATGACGGCGTACCTACAATTAGTTGTACTTTACATAACATGAACTTCGTAAAATTCTTTATAAATTGTAATTTAAACATTTTTTCATTACGATGTAGTTATACAATTTAATAATAATTTATTGGAGTTGCCATTATGTCAGTTTAAAAAAAAAACACTTATAGTCAAAGAATATAATCGGGAATATTTACAATCTCTACGTTCGACAATGACGCTATTGAGTTTATTGCCTATTTGGAATGAAAAAAGAATCAGACCGGGGAAAAAGTAAGTACCTAATTAAAAAAATATTTTATCATTATTACTTTTGTTCGAAGTGGTTGAAATTCGCCCATAATCATTATTGAAAATATATAAAAAACATATTATATGAAAATAAATTACTTATATGATAAAAAAAACTGTTTCTAAATTTTTTTTATTTATAACACTAAAGCTCGCCAAAAGCTATTAAACAAAAATAAAGAAAATCGATTGACAAACAATGGTACTGAACTGTTTTGTCTTTGTCAATTTATACATAGATATACTTTTAACGCTTTAACAAATTTTTGTGATTATATATTCGTTCTCATTTGAACTACCCTTATTGCAGCTCAGTAGTGTTTCAACCCCTGTCGAGGGTGGACGTTGGTTTTATAACGCGAATTAAGTTTACGATAAAACTTGTTTGTGAATTTCGTTTAACTATAATGGGTATGTAATTGTATTTAAGAGCTTTATTTGAAGCTTTTATCGCATAAGTGGTCTTAAAGTCGATATTTATGGAAAATTATTTTATTTTTCAATAGCCGGTATATTAATTATGCTTCAAAATATGGTACTTTATAATTGATAAAATCTTTTCAAAAGTGTGATGGATCTTGCGAAGCGATCTTACGACGATCTTGATTGAGCTTACAGCTTTATTTTGTTAAAAATAGTTATATTTAATGTAATAAAAACAAAGATCTGTTTAAGAAGATATAGATAAATTAAATTAAGGATAGAACGAGGTGTTTTGTTCTTTTCTAATTTACGGTTGCCTCAAAAAGATCGTACACTTTAATTTTGAGATAAGGCCGCTTAACGTGCTATATATTTTTGTTTTCTTTTTATATGATTTATATGTGGATAGTGATGCTTTATAATATTAATCACCTATTCACTTACATACATACACACTTTTTTTCTTTTCTCTTGTAATATTTTTTTTTATTTACATTAACTTACCTTATTGTAAATTGTTATTTCATGTACATATGTATCATGTATGAACATTTAATATGACGTATATTTGACATAGAAAGGTACTATAGATCTTGTAAAACAGTTTTCTAGTTTAGGAGTTAGGGCTTTATGCATTTTATTACATTACGTTACTTGAATAATCCCTCCACGACCGCGGACATGTCGGCGTGTCAGTTAACAACAGATTTCTTAGAATTTTAATTAATTTGTTAAAAAATTACCTGGAGGTGTTAAAGTCTGTTTCTTAATAATTTTCAGTACTTTATTTTATCTTTAAATTTATTTATTTATTTTAGCCCTTTATTCCGAACTGTATGTTTATGTGACTTTAAAGAATTTGTGCACGGTGTGCCGCTTGGCATAGGCCTCCTCTAACATTTTCCATTGAGTTCGGTCACGCGCCACCCTACTCCAATGGTGACCAGCTGTCAGTTTTATATCATCCTTCCATCTGGCTTGGCATCTTTGAAATTACTTTTAGTAATAAAATTATAGGTGTCGGTGCCCATATATAATATTATCATGACAAAATACACGCCTTCAAGCGAAGCGAGAATATGATTCTGATTATCATATAGGTACAACTGTCGATAGTAAATCAAATATACTCTAGAAATAACGAACTCATATAATACTAGCGACAATTTTTTTTCTGAGCGGAACCCTAATTCTTTTTTTTAAATTAAAGAAGCCAAAGTTACTCCTTATAAAATCAGCTATATGCCAGTGAAAGTTTCGTTATAATCAGTTCAGCCGTTTCGAGATTAATCGAAACAAACATGCAGACAAACATTTTAAAAATTGTGTTTTTCTTATACAAGTATCGTATAAAATAAAATTTTATTTCGACATTACAAACAGACACTTCAATTTTATTCATCTATATTAATGATCTCTTTTCATTCATACTTAAAAGCTTTCTCAAAGTTTCCAAAATATGAATCATGTTTAAATTTCCTACAACTCCACATTTACTAACTTCAAACGTATTTAATGTTAGCTTGGAAGCTTTTGTAAAGTTTCAAAATTTCCATGCGCTTATTTTATCCAACAAAAAATGAAAAACTATTCCACCCTATTAAAACGTATATAATCGTAGTATAGGTAGTTCTGTATTAGTGAAATAACTCGGTACGTAATTCTAGATAGCGCCATCTTCAAATAACAATATTTTATTTTAACATTGAGTTAATTTAATAAATGTAATTTTTAAAACTTTTTTCAATTTGAGCTCAAAATTTAACTGTGACAAATACAGGAAGTACCATTTAATATTAATTTATGTGAATGTAATAAATATAATTAATGTTTTATCTGAGAATTGAATTCGTGATTTCCGCTGATGTAGGCTAAGCTCACCAGGCATCACAACTAATGAACTATTACGTCATAGCGGTTATTCGATAAAGAATTCGAATATTTATAGAATTTAAAAAAGAATAACAGAACATCATTCTTTTAAAAAAAAAGAATAATACATTATAATGGAAATAATTAAAACCCGAGCTCAACCAAATAGGTTTATTATTTGCTTATTTATACATATAATGTTACACAGTTCGCAGTAGTATAGTGTCGTTGCCGCGATACATCGATGTAGAACACAAAGTGATTTACCAGACTAAAACCATATGTCAAATCTATTATATATTAACATATATAATATAATATATATATATATATATATATATATATATATATATATATATATATATATATTAAAAATGAATCCCTATTTCCCTTGGTCACGACATAACGCGTGAACTGCTGGACCGATTTAAGTATGTTTTTGTTGTGTTTGTTATTGTCAGGAGAAGTTTCTTATGAAAAAAAAAAATTATAAATTGCGCAGAAAATTATCAAAATCAAAAAGTGTCAGATCCTGAAATTGTATGTATTATAATAAAATAGTAACTTAGCAAAATCTGTACATAAAATATTATTAAAAACAATGACTTTTAAAAATAATAATCAAGACCTTAAGTTTTATGGCTTTAAAACTTTAGCAGGTATACAAGGAATAAAAATCCGTATACTTTTTCAATGATTATAAAAAAAATGTAGTTTACAAAGTAAAACTCATTGATTTCTCCAGTTTTTTTTTTCATTTTTAAGGCTGTTTTTACAGGACGACCGTACAATGTTTTTATTTCTTCAAAAAGTAGAGTGGAAGATGAAAAAATGAACCCTATCTGAAAATTGAACGACATTTTTTTTAAATGTAAACATCCACTGGAAATTGGGGGTGATTTTAAGCCTCCCGAGATCATACAATATAAATTTCTCGGAAACGGCTAAACATTTCAATTTCAAAAAATTGGTTAGTATATGTATTTTGAAAATAATATATTTCTCTAGTTTCATGAATATAAAAAAGTTTTTGTTGATATTAAAAATATTAAAAAAGATATATATTTTTTTTGGAAATATGTCGAAAACTTTGAGGTTATTGTAATAGTCGTAGATTTTTACTAGACCTACAACTTTCGTAAAGAATATTTTTCGATAAGATGTCACAACAAGCCAGAAATTGAAAAAAAAAACTATTTTAAACGGTTTGCTATAAACGTCTTAAAAACATAAAACTTCCGGTTTTAATTTTTTGTGTAGTACATCGCAATCGGACTATTTGTATAGCGCTATTTTAATTAAAGAAAAACTTAATAACGAATAAAAACTTAATTTGTTTCGAATTAGGTACTTAAAAGAAATTGTATTATTCCTTCTTTTCTTAGACTTCAAACTTCTCAAAAAAGTATATTTGGCTTTGGGGGCGGTCGTGACACCTCCCCCCCCCCCTGGATCAGCGCTTTCCATTGATTTATATCTTTATGCTCAATTATAATGAATATCTCAAAATTATACAACTTAAAATAATATCCTTAGAGGTTTATAGTTTTTTTTACGTTTAAAGTTATTTTGAAATCGTGTAGCTATTTAGCAAAAAAAATGACCAACTATAGCAATCCTTTTCTAAAACGTACATTACCTATCTCTGGTTAAATTATTAAATGAGAATTAAATGCGCCATCTCTAATTTCAAGTCTGGCAATAATTGGAACATTCATACAATTGACGACATGTGTCAAGTTTTACGTGAAGCATTTAACTATGTTAAATAACAAGTCACTTTCGTTTCTGAATAAAACGTTTTTGGCACAACCGAAGCCAAGTTTTGGTTCACCGCCAAGAAGGTTTGAAAATTGTTATAAAGTCCAAACTACAGTGGTTATTACCTTGCGATTTGGTAGTCTTTTCATGAAAAGGTACAACTTTATCGAAATTGTCTATCTAGTGACAAACACATTCAGACGCATACGTACTCGCACACACACACACACGCATACTCAAATACATATACACACGTATGCACACATGCACAGTTTCACCTTTTCAACCGACTTCAAAAAGGAGGAGGTTCTCAATTCGACTGTATGTTTTTTTTTTTTTTATGTTTGTTACCTCAGAACTCCGTCATTTATTAACCGATTTGGAAATTTTTTATTTTGTTTGAAAGGGTATACTTCCAGATTGGTCCCATTTAAATTTCAAAAAAAAATACCACCCCTAAGGATGGAAAAACAACTAATGATGAATTTAACCTACTTCTAATTGTCATATTGCCTTGAAACTTTGCAAGTATTTCTATTTCCGTTGATAGTACAGTGGTTCGGTGTTGTTGACCTGATCTGAGGGCAAGGCCAGAAGGTGGATAGGTGGAACTCTTCAACGGCTAATAGTAGATACTTTGAGTTTGGGCTTATTTTGTTTGATTTGACAAGCCTAACACGTTAGAATCCTTACTATGCTACTACTGTCTACACTAAAAAGGGAAAAATAAAAACTTTTTAACAAAAAAATAAAAACCGACTTCAAACAAAAGCACTAAAAAGTAAAAAATAACTGATTGGTAGTTTTCATTTACTATACATACTTAATCAAATATTTTCGAAGTCGGTGTGCTTTGGCTAAGTAATTAAAGCTTACCTATTAAATACATACCTAATCAAATATTTTCGAAATCGGTGCCAGCCCATACAAAGCAAAGCACGCCGACTTCGAAAATATTTGATTAGGTATGTATAGTAAATGAAAACTACCAATCAGTTATTTTTTACTTTTTAGTGCTTTTGTTTGAAGTCGGTTTTTATTGTTTTACTAGTAATGAAATAAAAAAAGTAAACTAAAATGAGTTTGTACATAATGCCTCAACGCCTCGAGCAATTATGATGATATTTTGCACGTGTCCTATAGCAGGTCTACTTTTTACCGTGAAATATTAGTACATTAGCTTTATAAACAGGAAAAATCCTGAAGATTAATTCAGAATTACTTATTGCGTATAAGGATATAAATGCTTCGATGGTGTAGTGGCGAGTAGGTGCGATCCAGCGTGCTTAGGTTCTAATCCCGAATTGGGCCAAGTTTATCTATTGATTATTTCTACTAAGAAATTATATGTTAAG